ATATATATATAGAGAGAGAGAGAGAGAGAGAGAGAGAGAGAGAGAGAGTGAGACCGACATGAGTGAGTGAGAGACATAAAATGTAAATGAGTATGAATTTGTAGATTTGTGTATGCGTATAGGTAGATGAGGTAAATGTTTAATGTAAAGTAAGCAAGAAATGTATATGTATATTTAAGATGTATTGTATATAATGGAAGTCCGTGTAATCACGTTGGTGAGTACGTAATAAATAAACTACTACTATTACTACTACTACTATATATTATAAAATATTATTAAAATTGTGCTCGTATTATCTATTGTATTATTCTATTGTAAAATCGCATCATAAAAGCCCGTAAAATAAATACCATATCTTTTTAATAAAATCGCGTGCGATAGAATATATACCAACAATTTGTGACTATACTATACGTCAAAATTGTATTAACAATAAATGTGATGCATTAAATGATTGCGTAAAGTTTATAATGAAACTTCAATCATGGAGTGTGAATTAGTAATGTGCGCTTCAGATGAAATTGTATATACTGTGTTACATTTAAAATAAGAAATAAATTAATGTTTTATAAAAAAAATGTATAATATGATACTTAAATATATTACTGAATTACTTTCAGTCTCTTTTTTCTTTGCCTCTATTCAGCGGTTTAGAATTATATACAAACTAGTATGATAAGAAGGCGCGCAATTTTTCCTTAAATAAGTCAATTAAATTATTAAAATAAAAATTGAATAATAAGAAATTATAATTCTAATCTCTATTCCTTTCTGGTTTCCTCTACAATTCTAAAATATTTTTTTCGCTCCTTTCTATCATCTGCTTGTAACTCTCACGTAACTTTGAAACCTGCACATTTCTGTTTTTCCTTACCGCGAGTGGAAAAGAATCTTCTTTCTCTATAGTTATTTAGAATTAATTAATAATAAGATGTTTAGTAGTATAACGTAGTACAATAAATGTTTGATAGCTCAATAATAGTTTATGATATTGTAGTTTGATAATTAGGAACACTCAGCTATTTGTATTACATTACTAAAAATATTATTATAATTAGTTGCTAAATTTAAATCATTGCTGTCATATCATTAAAAAATTGTAAAATTAATTTAACAGATAGAAGGAGTCTTCATATAAAAATTAAATAACAATAAATAAAGGGCGAAGCTTCGCGCTCGTATCAAAATCAACTCGTGAGCGTTGATCACTATGCGTTTGTGATCTTCGCAGAATCCCAACAGTACATAGAGCGGTACATAGAAATTAACATATCCGGTCGCAATAGTCTGCGCTTCTCGGCCAGTATTCCGCATAATCACACTTCTGTCGGACGATACAGTTAGTTTTTGAGCGTGCTAGTTTTACCTATGTTTCTGTTACGGTCAATCTCCACACCGTTGAGTTCGTATCGAATCTTATCGAATATGAACGCGACACAATTATTTCCCAATGCTGCGTTAGCACCATTGATCACTCTGTTCTTCGTCAATTTTCCCTCGACGTATAGAAAGCTTTCGTACGATAGTGTATACAGATCCTATTGCTGTATGGGTATTCTTATCTCATCGCTGTACTCGATGTTGTGTTGGCGAATGGGTTGTACGTATGAGCCTCAATCTTGACGATGTGATCATCGAAGATCGCATCATCCTTAATGTTTAGGATATCAGTCATTTTAAATGTTACGCACCGCAAATCCCAAAGACTTTAAAAATTTAACGTTCGATGCGTTGAACTTTTTTCTGATGTAGCTGGATAAGCAAATGTTATCGAGCTGTGATGTCACCTTGTAAAGTATGCGAGTAATAAATAGGAATGTTTGACGCAAAACAAATTCTCTCCACGCCTCCCCTAGCGTCAAAATAAATCCCTTTCATGCCTTTTCCTCCACCATGGACGCGGCCTAGACGAGTCTGTCTGGAAGCATGGCGGACTTTGATTAGTCGATGGATGAAGGGATGGGGTAATAGGGTAATTAAATGATGCGTTCTTATTGGTTCGCTCTATAGCTGACAAAGATCTGATTGGCTTGCTCCATAATTTCCCACGATTGGAGAAGGGAGTGGAAGAAGACCTCCGACAAAATGGAGGGTGAAGTCCGAAAAAAAGGGAATAGGAAATTGGGACTGTAGCATTTTTTATTGTGAGAAGCAAGGCATGAACAGTGGACATGAATAACAGATAGTTTTATGAGAGTCATTTTTTGTTGCACGACCCTATGTCTCCGACGTCTTAGTGAAAGTATTTTTTTATAATAGAATTTATAATGGGATCTTTTACGAAAATTTTCAAAACTAGGAGACTTTTATTTTTACTTGGGAGAAAGGGGAGGTAAAACAGGAACGAACATGTTTGACTGACGCGACGTCTTTCATGTACTGATTCGAGCATTATATTAAAAAAAAGATCTTTCTAAATTTTAAGTATTTAATGTACATTATCTAAACCTGAAATACCAGAAAAAAAAACGTGTCTATTGTAAATGGTGGGCAAAACAAGTAAGAAATAGACGAAATTTACAAATCCAAATAGTTTATTTTTAAAAAGAAAGAGATATTACAAAATAAAATAGTTCTTTTAATTTTTTTTTAAAGGAGTTTTAAAAGATTTTTTTTATTGAACTTGACGGCATACAGCATGAGAATTTATAAATTTATGTTTACAATAAAAAAAAATTTTATGAAATAATTGTGCGATTAATCGATCATTGTGTTTATAATCAGAAGTAAACAGACTAAGAAACTGGTTAAGATTATAACCATTATAAAATGTAAAAACAATAAAATCAATAGGTTCTAAAAAAAATTCTAAAAAATAATAAATAAAATGCCAATTTGAGCCGACATTAGTTATTAGTGTGTATTTTATAATACCATTTATTCAAAGTGAATATTAAACGTATACGTTTCGACCTATGGTCAAGGTCCTCTTCAGTACAAAAGATATATTAACAAAATTAAATGATGGTAGCGCATACAAATATAAACTAATAACATAAAAAGAAGGGAAAACACGTGGTGGTGATGTCCGAGTTAATCTTGGTCATTTAATTACTAACGTACGAGATGCGCTGTACGAGACACGGCGTGTATCGTGAATGTGTGTATCGTGAATTAACTTCGACTTTCGTAAGAGGATATATAGCGGTAGTTTTATTCAGCGTGTACAAGTAGCACACCCGAACTTATTTTTGCTTTTCTTACGAGTAAACTGGCATGCGTTTTGGTATCGTTTTACTCTTTATAAGGCAAAACGAATTTTTCGAACGTACGAGTTTTATTCCACTCCGTTAGTTAAAAATTTATATATTATTTACTTGATTGAAAACGTCGCAGTGAAAGTGGCCTATAAGATCAAGTGCGCGATTTCCCTGAATGTATTGCGCGCGTCTCATGAGCGCCGTACTTAAGGTCGATGAGTCTAACGTGTCGTTCATGTAACCACCCATGGGACCGGATATCCGCGTCCCCTAAGCAGGAGGATAGATGGGAAGTTTTTGCGAGTGAAGCATAATTTAATAACGCTTCGATGTATGCACGATAAGCGTGCATATGTGTTGTTTGGTGCCGATACGTGCTTTTGATTGAAATATACGTCGATTTGGTTGAATATGAAATGCAGTAAATGACATAGGTAAGGTTTGCCGACTCTTGCCCGCTGTTGAATATTAGACCGACGTTAGTAATATTATGGCAAACTGACTATCACTAATCGTACACGGTGCGACATCGGCCTAGGCTAATAACAACTTTAGACCATTATCGGGCCAACGTTGGGTCAACGTTGGCAGTATGTCAATTGGTTGTCATGCTAATCACGGCGAGACGTTGGCCCAGGCTAAGTCAGCCGACTCTTATCTAAAGATAACTTTAGGCCACTATCGGGCCAACGTTGGGCCAACGTTTTTTTTTTTGCAAAAGGAGGAGAAAAATATTCACAAAGCTCATCCGGGATACTTCCAAAGAAAGAACCTAATGATGGGAAGATGCCCAGAGCCCGGATGTACGAGATTCAATGGGTCCGCGTCCTCTCCATATGGAAGAACAGCAGACGTCATCGTCTACCTCGCTAAAAAAACTCCCTCTATAAAGCAGCACTACTTCAAGACTAATTGAGTGCATCCCGAAACCGCCTACATGGCATTTCATCAGAGTACATCCACGGAACATAAGCCACGGAACATAAGCTCCCGTCATCCAATATCTGGTATACTCCACGAAGTGTACAAACGAATCTAACCTAAATATACGTCGCTATTTACACTATATACAAGTCTCACATCTCAGTTATCAGATTCCGAAGAGGCAGGGGCGAGAATCGATCACTATCTTTCTAAAGTCTGACGTTCTCCGCTCGCTCTTTCTTCCTCATCACGGCACACAGAAGTCTGCAAGGGCCATCCAGAACCGCGAAGAATCCAAAGCGGATCTAACAACGCTGTACGTTCTGTCAGGCGCGTCCAATCCTAGGACGTCGAAAAGCGCCACACACTGGTTCATCCAAGAGGGACAGAACAACAGCATGTGGACAGTCGTATCAACCGCTCCTCCATAATGGACGCACATCGGCAAACTGGCATGTCGTATCTCGTACAGGTAGACCCCAAAACGCCCATGATCCGTGATGACCTGGTTTATGCGGTAAGTGAGACTCTGCGTATACGAGCCATCCAATCGCCAATGCGATAGACCAGGGCTTCCTTGACAGTCCCTCCACCTCTCTACGGAGTGGCGGAACTCCACTTCTCGGTATAGGAATAAGGTCCCGGGCCCCTGGCAGAATGGATTCATCCCTCCGGATGATCTCCCTCCCGTGTAGGTATGCCCATCTCAGGCGAACTACCACGAACCTAAACGAAACTGACCTTGCCAAGATGGCCGCAGCCTCGTGGGAGACGGTAGGCCTTTATCACCCTGAGTGATAGCTAGAGCCGCTCCATCGCACAACACAGGTGCCAATTCCCGGCCACGGTTTGCGCCCAAATCGGTGCCCCATAAAGGACTACCGACATGACCACTGAGGCGTGGATCCGACGCCTGTCCTCCTCGATCAATATTAACAATAAGTCTGCCAATAATGGCGGCCATCCTCCAGGCCTTAGGAAGAAGGAGGCGAAAGTGCCTCGGAAAGTCCATCTCAAATCCAGAACTAATCCTAGGTATTTCAAGGTAGGTCCCCACTATCGTCCCTCTCTCCCCACTCGAAGGGACACCTCAGGGGCATCATCCACCATAAAGGCGACCACCTCCGTTTTGCCGAATGACATCGTGAGGCCTAGGTCCTCAATGGCCCAAACGACCACAGCCACCTCTAATTCCGCCCGCACTAGAGCCTCCTTAAACAAGGGACCTGTCACCATAATAAGGGTATCGTCGGTGTAGCATATGGTAGATCAGCTCCGGTAATCCCAGACATAAAAAGAGTCATATCCTATGTTACACAGGGTCAGTCCCAAGACCGAACCCTGCGGAACGCCACAAGTCATGGATGACTTCGTAAAAAAATCATCGCGATTAATATAACACAGCGATTTATTGAACAGGTAATCACCCAACATCCGCCTAAGAAACCCTGAGACTCCCTTGGATTCCAGGGCTAAGCGGATCAACGGCCACGGGAGGGAGTTGAAAGCATTGGCGATATCCAAAGACATCGCCAACACCATCCCTCCATTGCACGTCCACATTCATCCACCTTCTCAGATGCCAAATTGCGTCCACCGTCGAACGATTAGTCCGATGACCAAACTGGTTATTAGAAAAGCCACCGATGGAATACAAATGGATATGTAAACGACAGCACAAAATCCTTTCGAAAAGCTTGCCCATCTCACTCAGGTAAATAGGCCTGTACGAGGAAGGAACAAGATCGGGCTTATTCGGTTTCTTAAAGAGGACTAGCCTCGTGATCTTTCACTCGGAAGCCACTCTCCTCAAGAAGAACAGTAAAGGTGCTCCCACATGTCGGCGAGTAAGCACGTCGTTCCCATGATGACTCGCCCAACTATTCCATCTGGACCAGGCGCCCTCCCAGACGGGACTTTGACACAAGCCTCCAGAATCTCCGCGTTAGAAACCGCCAAGTTCTCCTCCCAGACGATGGGAATGTGTTCATTCTCACCGACCGGCAGCTGGGACAGAGGACCCGCATTATCTCCCTCACAGTACCCGTAGGAAGATCCTCCACTAATGAAGAGGTGCCGAGAGTCTACTCATCACTCTATAGGGTATACTCCACGGGTCAGACTCCAGGGTCCCAAGAAGCTTCTTTCAAAGACGCAATTTAAATCGCCATATAGCCCTTCTCAGACCCCTTTTCGCTTTGCAAAGCTCCGCCCACAACTCATGCTCGAGTTCAAGACAGGACCGCCTACGCACACGTATAAGGCGTTTACGGCAGTCATTACATCAGGCTCGCAGCTCGTAGATTTCTTTGTCTCACCAATATGCCGAGGGTCTGCCAAAAATAGATTTCTTCGGCATGGCAAGGTTGGAGACCTCCCTGAGCGTCCTATCCACCATCTTAACATGGCCACAGAGAAAAGGAATCCATGCCTTCAGAAGTTTAATTTTCCCACCGCCCACCTAGGAAAGCATCCCCTAGACGCCGTCTTAGTAACGGGACCTGTTATTGACGTCCCAATCTCCATAAATATATATCTGTGATCGGACAGGGACTTCACTTTGGTAGCCACCCGCCAGCCACGGACGCACCTAGCGGCATTGGGAGTGGCCTAGGATACATTCACACAGGACTCACCTACCCTGCGTCAGCAAGACCCCTATTTAGTAAGTAGACAGAGCTTCAGCCTGTCCGACCACTCGAATAGAACGTCTCCTTTGAGGTTTACTCTACTCCTATCCCACAGATGGGAGCGGGCGTTAAAATCACTCAATACTAGTATAGGTCTGCCGGCATACTTGGAGACACATGCCTCCAAGTCAGCCAAATCCCACTCGAACTCATAAATCGCCTTATTTGAAGAGAAGTAGCAGCTAAAGACCACCACTTCCCCCCTCACTCTACCGCCACATAGCACGCGCTATGCTTCTGCACAGAGCACGAAAAAAATCACAGCATGTTCAGAGACGAGCACCGTTTCTCGTCAGAAGGAATAGAATGGGGCTCGGACAAAATCATGAGTCATAAATCCTCCTCCTTACAAACTCGCGCATTTAAATCTTGCGCAGGTTTGGAGTGATTAACATTAATCTGGTCTATTTTAGCCATAGGGAGGGTCCACATTCATCACGTCCGGTTGGACGATAGCCCCCCGATCGATCACCAACATTGTACTCACATCCCCCTCACGCAAGGCAATCCTCTGATTAAAAGGGGGGCATTCAGCCTGCCCTGTGGCACTCAATCTGCGCACAGACTGGGCAGCGCGACTTGGCCTTGCATCCGAAGGTCCTATGTCCTCCTTGACCACAGTTGAAACAAAGAAAGGCTCTGTCCTCCACGCTCCGACAATGGCCCGAGTATGACCAATCGCCAGACACCGAAAACACTGGAGGCAACGCCTGGCCAGGGGAAAACGAGCATCCTAGCTGAATACGCTCCTCTCCTGCAAGTTTTTCCGCAAGAACAGACATTGCACCTATATGAAATTCAATCCGCCCCTTCCAGCGCAGCGTTTCCACCCTAACATCCTCTCTTTTGATCTCGATGAGAGATCCGGCCTCCAAAAGTTTGTTAACCATTTCTACATCGGTGACCGACCGTTCCATGTCCAAAAATCGGCTCTCCGACCTCCGCACTGTACGGACAATAGAGACCCCGATTGTCATGCTCACGAAAGACTGTTCTCAGCCTCTCCGAAAGCACGTCGGCTTTGACCCCTGATCCCACACCGAGAATTTCCACAAGAATACCGTCCGTCTGGGCCAAAAGCAGCGACGACACCAGAAGGAATCCTCCCCGTGCGCTTCTTTCTTTTCCTTTTTCTTTTATTGGACCGACCAACCATCTCCGTCCATGGCTCCCCCCTGTTCGAACCAGCGGCTGGCAGCCGAATCCCTCACTGCATCCTCTGTCTGAGGATCAATTGTCGCCTCTTCAGTCACCGTCAATGTAACAATGCGCCCCCTTTTATCCATGCGTTTAGAAACATGCTCATCCACCAAAGGCTTCGATACACCCTTAAGAGGTGGTCGATACGCTGGTCGGAGCTCCTCGCGCATAACGCGACATCTCCCCTCCTCCAACATAGCAGCAGGAGATTTTCCTGCCGCGATTGGTGATCCTCCGCATCGGCAAGTAAGATATCCCCAGCCTGGATAACAGGGTCATCCCTCACGCACGAAGAGGAAGCATGAAGAGTCTTCATATCTCTCGGCGGAGAGACTTAACTTCCTCCATCAGGGAGTCCGGATCTGTCCTAATGTCGGCTAACTCCCTACGAAGCCGCACAATCTCCCTCTCAAACTCAGCAACAAGACCACGAGATATTATTATACGAGGTCTGGCTATTAAATAACGAGACTGCGCGCGCAGTAGGCGTCCTAGAGGGGTAGGGTGGGAAACGAATGCAGCGTTGGATAGCTGGAAGTGTCTACTATTCCAGTACGAAAACACGTTTTTGTCGCAGTAGTAGTATTTTTTCTATAGAGGTTAGAAAAGAACTCGTTTTTTTCTCGTGCCGATAACAATGTGTGACGAAAAACACGAGCAACGGATCAATGTGAAATTTCTCGTTAAATTAAAAAAAACTCCGACTGAGTGCTATAAGTTGTTGAAAGAGGCCTATGGTGAGAATTCTCTATCTCGTGCGCGTGTTTTCGAATGGTATAAACGGTTTTCTGAAGGCCGAGAGAGCACCGAAGATGACCAACGTCCAGGTCGACCTGTCTCTGTTTCAACTCCGCAAACAATGACCAAAATCAATGAAATTGTGCGCGGAGATCGTCGTATGAGCATTCGGATGATTGCTGAGACTGTAAACGCCGATAAAGAAACTGTCAGAAAAATTTTACATGACGAATTAAACATGAAGAAAGTCTGTGCGAAGTTGGTCCCAAAAAATTTGACCCCTGACCAAAAGCTCGTCCGTCAACAGATCTGCTCAGATTTTCTTGAGAGGTTAGATGAAGAGCCTGAATTGATAGAACTGGAGTGGACTTGCGATGAAACCTGGATATTCCAATACGATGTTGAAACTAAGCGGCAATCCATGCACTGGAAAACTCCTGCATCGCCAAGAATGAAAAAAGCAAGGATGTCGAAATCAAAATTTAAAGCCATGCTAATCGTTTTTTTCGACATCAACGGCATCGTGATGACTGAATGGGTTCCAGAGGGTCAAACTGTAAACCAAACTTACTATTTGACAGTTTTGGCAACACTGCGAGAGCGAGTTCGTAAGAAACGGCCGGAGTTGTGGAAAAACAAGTCGTGGATCTTACACCAGGACAACGCACCTGCCCATAACGCGCTGTCTGTGAAGCGTTATTTAGCCGCTAGAGGCACTCCAGTGCTCGAACACGCGCCGTACTCGCCTGATTTAGCACCCTGTGACTTTTTCCTGTTTCCGAAGATCAAGTCTGCCTTAAAAGGAACCCGGTTCGAGTCGATGGAAAAGGTGAAGCGAAAATCGGCGGAGCTCCTAAATGCTCTTACAAAAGAAGACTTCCAGCATTGCTTTGACCAATGGAAAAAACGAATGGAACGGTGTGTGGCGAGGGGAGGGGAGTACATTGAAGGGGAGCATTCAATTGTAGAATAATTTTTAAAATAAAACTCTTTTTCATAAGCAGTCTCGTTATTTAATAGCCAGATCTCGTATATGGTATTATATAGGTATGCTTTTTATTATTTATTTTTTATAATTATCTTAACCACTTTCAAACAACTTTAAAATTATTATTTAATATTCAGTCTGCGTTAAATTAAAATAAATAAACAAAATAAAGGACTCTTTCAAAACATAATAACAAAACTCAATCTCGGGCGAAGTAAGAGTCAAACATATTTCTTAAATTTTCATAAAAATGTATATTATATTAATAGCGATGAAGAATTGTTACATCACGTAAAAAATTGGACTATAAACTAGTAAATGAGTACACTGTTACAAGTTACAAGTTACAAGTTTCGGCTTCCGGTTTGAGCCCTCTTCAGACATTAATATAACGAACAAGTATTAGAATCAAATCAATCGTCGCAAATGATCGCATGTTCCGAATATTATCGATTCGGGTGAGTCTTGGTCTCGAACCATAATTCCCGCATGATTGAATTGTCGTGAAGTATTACAATTATTTCGATGAAATTCTAGTTAATAAAAGGATAAAATTAAAAAACAACAAACACCACTAGCACAAGGCTATGTTTAAATGCAATAATAAAATGCTGAAGATACAGGGTGCGGCGCGGGAACTTCCTTATTTGAATTGCGCGCCACACAGCGGCCATTAATCTTACAAAAGTGGACGTGTGCGCATTTAAAAGGGTGCAGCCTAACGTTTTTTGTACGGTTAGTTTAGTAATGACCATGCAGTGGACAAGAGAAGAGCGTGCGTTCGCCGTGGCGACTTACTTTTCTAACAATCGTTCGATTATTGCAACTCAGCGTGCATTTAGAAAAAAATTTAAAATCGCGCCTGCAGGTCCTGTTCCTGATCGGAAATCGGTTGTTCAGTGGGTGGACACGTTTATGGATACTGGCAGTGTGTGTAAAAAAAAGCCAGGACCCTCAAAAACCACCAGGACTCCAGAGAACGTCGAGAAGGTACGGAACGCGATTTTGAAATCCCCCAAGCGATCTGCATGCAAACATTCAGTTGCTCTTGGGATTTCTGATCGCACAGTAAGACGAATTCTTCATGAAGACCTACAATTTCATCCATACAAACTGGCAGTGGTGCAAAAACTTAATACACGCGATTTCGATTCACGAAAAAGAGCTTGTGAAGCCTTTGTCGAAAACCTGCCTCATGACACGCTTGTGTTCTTCAGCGATGAGGCACATTTTCATCTGTCAGGATGCGTTAATAAACAAAACATGCGATATTGGAGTGGCACGAACCCCCGAGAACTTCACGAGCAGCCCCTGCATGCAAAACGTGTGACTGTTTGGTGTGCATTATCGAGAGTTGGCATTATTGGACCCTGGTTTTTTGAAGAAAACGACAAGGCACTTACAGTTACTTCTGACCGTTATATCCAGATGATTGAAGAATTTTTCCTTCCCAAACTTGAAGAAATGAATCTCAGGGATGTGTGGTTCCAACAAGACGGCGCCACAGCTCACACGGCACGAACATCAATGGCTCTCTTGCGCGAACATTTTCCTGAACGTCTTATCTCTTTGAGGGGTGATCTTGACTGGCCAGCACGCTCGCCAGACTTAGCACCCTGTGATTTTTTTTATGGGGATATCTCAAATCCTTGGTGTATACTAATCGTCCAAAGACCTTGGGTATGCTGAAGAACAATATTCGTGCTGCTATTGCTAACATCGACACGGGCACACTGGAGAAAGTGGAACAAAACTTTCGATTTCGACTCTCTCAATGTATTGACCAGAACGGAGGTCACCTTCAAGATATTATTTTCAAAAAGTAATAAAAAAAAACTTTAAATGTACCTCTATGTAAAAATACAAAGATTAAAATGACATTTCCAATAATTATTGTTTTATGATCTTTTCAAATAAGGAAGTTCCCGCGCCGCACCCTGTATAACCAAAGGATAAAAATCCCAATTCTTTCATAAACTCACCAGAATCCATGTGTAAGAACTTAAACATAAATGTCCAATACGAACTAAAAACTTATGAAATACAGTAAGAAGCACCGATATGTAAGAACGACATTACGTGTCTATTTTTATATACGTTCAGTAGTGTTGCGGATCAACACAGACTGAGAGAGGAGACGGATTATTCTTAACCGAAAGTCAAACTCTGTTTATGATGGGAATGTAAACTTTGTGAAGACCATCGGTATCAGTCTGTAAATTGAGACCATTATTTTGTTTCTTGATATTAATCATCTCGGAAACCAAATGTCTCCGATAGCAAGGCTCTTCGTCTAAGATTTCGAGCTCATCCCACTTAAATTTATGGTCTAGTTGTCTCCTATGCTCCGTTATGACAGATCGGGCCGACGTGTTGTATCTAATGTGATTGCGATGTTCAGCAATCCTTGTCTTTAATTTTCTACCTGTCTGTCCCACGTACGAAGCGTCACAATTTCTGCATGAAATTTTGTAAACCACGTTGTTCTTCGATGTATGTGGATACACATCTTTGTGTACTTTGATGTATTTTTTTAGTTTGTTCGAACTACGGAAAGAAACCCTGATGTCGTTTTTGTTGAACCGATTTGTTGAACTTTTCTGTGTGGAGAGGGATGAACGGAACCGTAAGCCACGACACCGATTCCCTCGCTTCGACCTTGTCATTCAAATTGTTCTGTGTTATGTGTCTATTTCTATTCAAATTTTTTATTCGTAGGTTGATTGTGTCAAATATAAAGGATAATGGGTAGTCATTGTCTAATAAAATGTTAATGATAAGTGTCAAATTCTGTGTGTGAAATTGAACGTCTGAAAGTAAAATTGTTCTGTCAACCAGCGAAAAAATCGTCCCTCTTTTCTGTGCAATGGGGTGGTTAGAATAGAAATTCAAAAACCTCCCTGAAAAGGTCGGCTTACGGTACCAATCGACTCCAAATCCGTTTCCAATGATAGATATAATAACATCCAGGAAACTGATTTCATCACCACCAAATTCTGAAGTGAATTGTAATCGTGGATGGAAAGAGTTGAATTGTTTTACTATTGAGTCAATTTTTGATGGCTCAACCGCAGTGCAAATATCATCCACATATCTAAAATAAAATGTCACGTCCAAGTTCAACGACATCAAGGACACCGTCTCAAGTCTCCTCATCACCAAGTCTGCTATTACAGGTGATAAGGGAAACCCCATGGGAGTGCCGTAACTTTGTTTATAAAAATTGTTGTTAAACGAAAAAAATGTGGAATCAAGAATAAACCTTATTGCCCCCACAAACTCCTCTCTAGGGAGAGAGCAGTCTCCGGAAACATAAATCCAATGTTCATTGATACAGTCCATGGCTACATCCACCGGAACATTCGTGAACAGAGATTTTACATCCAGTGAGATTAATTTGTACTGGTCTGTAGTGTGTAATCTTTTTAGTTTTTCAACTAGTTCGAAACTATTTTTTATATAACTCTTTGCTTTAGGAATGGATTTAACTAATATGTTGTGTAAGAATGTCGCCAGTGGATAAAGCGGACTGCCCAACGAAGAGACAATGACCCTCAAAGGGCAATAAGGTTTATGTATTTTCGGCACCCCATAGGCCCTCGGAAGTGATCCATCACTACAATATAACGTCTTGTATTTTGTTTCGCTAATGTACTTCTTCGTTTTCCATCTGGTGAACATGGACCTTATCGCTGTCGTGATTTTCCTGGTGGGATCTTTATTGATATGAGAGTATGTGTCCTCGTCATTCAGCAGAGTGATCATCTTATCCATGTAGACCTCTCTGTCTAAAGCGACTGTGACATTGCCCTTATCTGCGTGTGTGAAAAGGACATTGGTATGTTCCGATAAAAAGGCGCGTGTCTTCGATTCCATTCTTAACAATAGTTTATCAATCGGAGATGTTGTGATTGGAGAGGAAATGATACTGTTAAGAATTGGAATGGTTGGTGATCGCGATCCTATTTTCGATCGGCATGCGATGCGCGCCGGTCTCAACACTCTTAATGCAATCGAAAATAATCTTATGTTTATTGTATAGTGGAAGAGCGAAATTCTCACCTAGTTGTAGGAAACATTGTATGTCTATAGGAATGGACACAGAGGATAGGTTGAGGAACCACCCATCTCGGACAGTGGTCAGGGACGAAGATCTGTGTGAGGTGAAGGAACTGGGATGTATAGATATCAAGGTACTAGGAGATAACGTAAGGGAAGGATTGTTGACATTCAATGATGTATTTTTTGAGTTTGTTCGGAAAGAAACCCTGATGTCGTTTTTGTTGAACCGATTGAACTTTTCTGTGTGGAGAGGGATGAACGGAAGCCCGAAGAGGGCTCAAACCGGAAGCCGAAACTTGTAACTTGTAACTTGTAACAGCGTACTCATTTACTAGTTTATAGTCCAATTTTTTACGTGATGTAACAATTCTTCATCACTATTAATATAATATACATTTTTATGAAAATTTAAGAAATATGTTTGACTCTTACTTCGCCCGAGATTGAGTTTTGTTATTATGTTTTGAAAGAGTCCTTTATTTTGTTTATCTATATAAATATTTACATACCTTTTAAATTGAATCACACATAGCATTATCCATATTTACTGATCAGTTTGAATTCATTTATCGATAAAAAGGCGTGTCTTGCAAAATACGGAAGTGAAAAAAGTCGATATGATTTTCGTCTATGGTGAATGTCGCCAAATTATGAGAAAAGCAGTACGTTTATATGCTGAAAGATTTTCCGATCGTGTCCATCCCTCATTCTCTATTTTTTCAAACATAGTACAAACTTTTCAAGAAACAGGAAGTGTGAATTATAAAAAACTCAAACGAATCAAGAAAGCAACTGACAACAGAAATCCAACGAACATTTTAGCCGCTGTAGCACTAAATCCACATATCAATACAGTTTGAACATGAAGTGGTATTAGTCGACGAAGTGTTCTGCGAATACTCCATTCCAACAAATTTCATCCCTTCCATATCTCATTTTATCAAGAGTTACATGGCAATGATTTTCAAAATCGTGTACAATTCTGTGAATGGACATTACAAAGATTACAAGAAGATGATATATTTGTCACTAAAATCTTATTTACTGATGAAGTTACATTTACAAATAATGGACAAATAAATCTTCGCAACATGCACTATTGGTCAATAAAAAACCCACATTGGATGAAAGAAGTGGACAGGCAGAGACCTTGATCTACGAGTCTAAACCGAAATTCTTAATGATAAAATAATTTGTCCTCATTTTATCGATGGAACATTAAATAGTCGCAAGTGTGCACAGATTTTAACAGAAATATTGATTAGAAGATCTTCCACTGAACGTACAACAATCAATGTGATACCAGCAAAATGGATGTCCTGTTCATTTTGCATGGATTATTATTGAATTGCTAAACAGACAATTTGGAGATCGTTGGATTGGTCAGTCAGAAAATAATAGATGGGCCACACGTTCCCCAGATTTAACACCTATGGATTTTTATTTATGGGGAAAGTTAAAACAACAAATACAGTGAAATGCCGATAACAAGAAAAGACATGAAGAAGCGTATAAGAAGAGTTTGCGTTGTGATTGATCCGAATGAAATTCGTCGTGCAGTGTCGACACGTTTCAGAAAATGCGTCGATGTTCAGGGTCATCATTTGGAACACTTGTGGTAACGATAAGTACGCAAATAAGTAAATTAATATGAAATATTCAAAAAATGCCTTCAAACAATTTAATTTCAATTACACATACCTTGTTATGTTTAAATAAATCTTTAATGTTTATTTACATACCGTGATACACTTGAACGATTAGCGGTATACCAACAAAAAGAGAAGACACGAAATTATTCGAAGAGTGCTTTGAAACAATTTATTTTCCATTACATTCAATTTTTTTCCATTATTGACCTTGCGTAACCTTGAATGATCTTCAATTATAGGTCATTGTATTTGTCTTAAAATGCTCTAGAATGTAAATAAAAAAACATATCATTCCATTTAAAAAAACAGATTTGATCTATCCTTTACGCCTCCAGCTACAAAACAATTATTGACATCACATTATGTGTCCCTCGAAACCAAGCAACTTTTGTTTGACACTTTTTCTTTTGTTAAAAACGAGCGTTATTCAGGTGATCTGTTTTAAATGCCTTCCCTGTATATATACATATATATAATGCGCATTTATACTCCAGTTGAGGCTCATATCGTTCGCACGTATGAGGGGCGCATTTCACTCGTGTACGTGCGAGCGATATCGCTCTCAATTGAGGACATCAGTCGGATTCAATGACATCATCGCCGTGCAGATAATCCGCACGCGTGCGCGCACCATGCAATCACTGTGCGAGAACATTTTTATCTCGGTACTTGATGACACATGATGAGGAATAATGATTTCAATAGTAATAAATTATTCAATTATTGTTAAATTAGTAATAATAAAAATCAAATGTATTGTTTTGACTTTTGTTTCTATATATCAGGTGTTTTCCATGGTATTAAATGTACAGAATTGAGTAAGGTTTTATCGTTTAGACATTCCAACAATTACTCCAAAAATATATTAAGTATGAGAAAGAGATTGGTCCGATCATCGAGGGAGTAGCAAGATAAAATTGTAGAAAAGCTGTTGAAGAAGAACGAAAACTAGTTCAACAAAAGATTCAAGAATTATATAAAGAATTGTAAGAATGTTTAACATATTATTCTATTGACAAATATTTTAATTTAACATTTTTATATGTATATTTTGATAAATAAATAAATAAATAAATTCATAAATAAATAAATTGAATGTAAGAAATGAATGTAAGGAATTTTCCCCTTCCTTTCCCTTTTTTTACCCTTCCTTTTGCCTTTTCTTAATATAAATAGACCAGCATTTTTTGGCTTTTGGCGTTATTTGCAGTTTAAATTCACTCTTTACCTAAAATTGTCACAGTGTTATACAGAGGAGTCTTCGCATCCCAGGATACACGTAAGTTTGTTCAGTTGGTTTTTCAAAAAGATAAAAAAATTTTTTAAAATAATTCTCTGGGCGGAATCTAAACAGGAGTATATTTCTTAATCTGATTGTTTTTTACAATAATACGACGATATCTCTAATTTACTTGTTGAAAAAATTTTGTGTTTTTACAATAGAATTTGGTGCGTGTCTCTTCGTGTGGGGCTCGTCGTTTTTAAATGAAGAATTCTTAATTGTATTATGACGGAAAAAAACTTTTGTAATTTCTTTCTATTCATATAGCCCGACAACAATTAACTGTTACTTTAATTTACTTTGATCGGTTGCGATTATTACTGTATTGTAAGGAAATAATAATTTTTTGTTACTTGCTATCACTATATTTATCAATTGACTTGCGTATTTAGTTTGAATGTTTAACGTATTCATTTTTATTGTACTGAAGAGGGTCAAATCTTGACCGAAACGTCTACTTATTGTTATGAATTTGTTTTAAATAATATATAACTTATTTACATCCTTGGTCATGGCTGTATGCTCTTTATTATTTAACCTTTGTAAATTTTTTAGCCACTTTCTAACAATTTAAAAAAGAATATTATACTTTCTCAAAATTAGCTGAAGATTTGCTTATTATTGATGTCTCAAATAAAAGCTTTCATGAAGCAACGTATAATGTAATTATATTACAAAAATTAATTAATGGATATTTATCAAATGACGCGTTATTTCAAAATGCTCATTATTTATAGAATCAGTGAATGATCAAATCAACAATCAAGTAATAAAGGGCACAGCGAAATAAGCATGTAAAATCTGCCCCCGCACCAATTGAGCTTAAATTGATGTCATTAGTTGGCACTCTTGAGATGTAAAACTTTTCCAAATATTAGTCTCGAAATTGCATTTTTTGGGGAGTTATAAAGGGGGAAGCGAAATAAAAAAAGTGGTTTTCTTTGGAACCGACTGTATCGATTTTAATGAAAAAAATATATGTTTTAAATATTGTTTAGATAAGTTAAAAAAATTGTTTGAAATGAAAATAAAACTATTAAAAAAATTTTTGAATTTTTTTTTAGTGATATTTTTGAGTAACCACTTTTATACTTCATGAAAATAATCTGCAGATTTTAACATATATTCTACTTATATAGTCTACTTTAACATATATATTTTTTAAATTGATCGGAGTGGTAAAACAATAAAAAAACAATCATTCGCGCAACGCCGTGCCGACTGGGTGACCGCAGCGCGCTGCGGCGCATGGCGGCTGTTGCCATGAAACTATTTATATAATAACCTTGTTGCAGTGTTGCAATGTTTAATTGCCAAGTATATGGATAGAGACAAAGATTTTATTATTGCCTACACATTTCAGTGAACATTATAATATAAAAATATATAATATTATATATTTCTATTAAGAACGTTTGCAGTTAGCCTATAAAACTTATAGTTCTCGGAGCTTATCACACACGAGGAGGTTGCAATGCGTTTTTAAACTCCATATTTTCGGAGTGCTTTTTTATCATGAGTCCCTTCGTTTCTCACATTAACAGAAGAGAATTAATTAATTCTTAATCATCGTCACTATCACTTTCAATGACTGGAATGGAATTATCTTTCTTAAATGCTGCTATTTTTGCCGGTTAAAAAATTTTTGATAAATTTCTTACATAAGATAAATAATATATTATTACGGCAATATAGGAGCAACAATCAATTGTTCGTCTGCCATTAGCATACTCACATACATAATGAGTCACACCGGAAACACCGATACTGTTTGGTTT